AGAACAGCGACCCAATTTCCAAAAGTTGAAGCTTCCCGGTCAATGTCGCCAATACACTCTTCGAGCCTCGCCTCCTTGAGCGTAGCCGTCGCCCTCTCAGACTCCTGCTCGGATTGAAGGACACGGATAGTGTCCTCTAAAGACGCCGCTTTGGCCGAAGCCGACGCCCAGGCACTCTCGACACTCTCCAACTCGGAGACCTTTCTCTTCAGCTCGGTTAACTTCCCCATCCACTCCACACTCATCGCCTCGACTCTGGTGGCATTGAGATCCAGCTCGGACTGCAACGACCTAACCTTCGCCTGAAGATGCTCACACTCTGCGGCGACCCCTTTTCCCAACTCAAGTTCTTCGTCCTTCACACGAAGTTGCTCCTCAAGCTCGCTATTCCTGCGAATAGCCTGCACCAACTCCTGATCCCTCTTCTCCAGTTCCTCGCCGAGAGATTGATTACCGGTGTTCGCCCTTAACCGTTTGTGAATCTCACAGCACTTGTTGCGGTAGCGCCTATACTTCTCCAACATCGTCAGAAAAATTTTGGCTCGAGTGTCGGCCCTACGAGCACTTTCAATCTCCACCATGTACGTCTGAAAGACGAAAAGATTGGTTAAGGCCAGGTCGCCAAAGATGAAAAGAACATAAAATAAAGGAAAAACTTACCCCCAGGCCCATACCGGCCACTTCATGCATCAAATCAACATCACAGACGTCCCAGAGAGCCTCACTCTCGGCGGAAGAGCACAAAAGGTCAAACTGCGGTACCAAGTCTTCCGTATCTCCCAGAAGGTTAATCTCCGACGAGATTTCAAGTATACGGGACGGGCCTCCCGCATGTACCACTGTATGAGTAGGCCTTCCTCAAACATCCTGACATCATCAGGATCAAGGTCGGACTCAGACTTATGGTCATCGATCGCGACACCCTTCTCCCTTTTTGTGGCCGAGGAAGAAGCACGACTCGGTCAGGAAGACGAAGGCCCGCCCAAAGTGGCGATATCGTTCTCAGGGCCCTAACTCTCTATTACAGCAGTCTGTTTATCAGCGGCAGCAGCCGAGGCCTCCGCCGTCGGATTGGTCACGATCACCGGCTCTACCACTACGGGCGGGTTAGCATCACCTCCTATCGCAGACTCCATCAAAGAAATGCCGCCCTCTGAGCGTACCACGGCTGAAGAAGACGTTTCGATTTCCACTCGTCGTCTCTTTGACGGCCCTTCCCCGCCCTCAGCACGGGAAGATTCTCCCGCTGAGCGAGCAGTAGTATTCAGAGCCCCAGATTGGGAAATAGTTTTCGTGCGCACGGCTACGGCCGTAGATTCGACTTGAGCAGTCCTTGCCATAGGACGGACAACAGATCTTGGTACAGGCCGAGCAGAAGACGTCGGCTGACGAAATGCAAGCGGAGGAGTCCTCGCCCTTCGCACTCCGCCTAATAACGATAAAAGTCGTATAAGCAACAAAGCCAAATTGCAGTGGAAAATAGAATTTGCGGCAAGACTACTTACCAGTAAGGGGCTTACGTCCATATTTCTCATAAAAGGACAACCATTCGCGAACTCCTGCCGTATGAGGAAGAATGGCATTCCCCATTCGCGGATATCATCAACAGGCGCAGGGGGTAGTCTCGCGGCTGCAAAAGCAAAAATATTTCAATACTGCCCAAAGGAAAGCGTTCGACTATCATTCCGACAAAAGACACAAACTTATGTGTGAAGTTCCATCTCTCGGGGAACCCTGTGGAATCCGCCACAAGGTGCTCGGTCCCCACATAAAAGTAGTTTTCGTAGAAACAACGGTTGGCTCTATCGTCCATCTTCACCACCATAGTCTTCGTCCCTCGATGGCGCATGTGAATCATCGTGCCTCGAATGAGTTGAGGGGCAAAAATATTGAGCATGTGCCTCAGAGTGATCTCCCAACCGGCAAGCTCCGCGAACTTGAGTAGCATGAGGAACAGTTTATACAGGTACGACGAAAGTTGAGCCGGACACTCCTCATAGAAACGGCAAAAATCTACCACCAAAGAAGGGAGAGGAAGCGTATACCCGACAATGAAAGGATATGCGTAGAACGCACAATATCCTGGGTGGTCGAAATGTATGATATCATCTCCCACCGTCGGCAGCATCTCGACGTGGTGCGGAATCCCCCACCTAACCTTCAGCTCCGCAATCGCCGCCTCATTCATAACATTGAAATTGGTCCACGGCTTCCCGGGACGAGGCAATATTTCGGCCGCTATTAGAACCTCCTCATCCTCTACTACTTTTACTCCTCCGGGAACAAGAACATCATTTTCCGGCACCGAAACTGCGGCAAGATTGTCAGTGTGGGAAGAATAACCAGCCATTTGTCTCAATTAAATAAAGTGAATAAACAAAGGAACTAAGAGGGAAGACGAAGATGCCAATTGTTGACCAACAAGAGAGAATAGAAAATCTGAAGTATCGGGGAAGAAGAGAACTAGCAAAATTCTTTTGATAAATCAAGAAAGTGAACCAGTGGATTGGTGTTTTCCCCCTATTTATAGGGATATAATTGCCCCAAGCGGGAAACCCAAGAGTCGCCAATTAGCATTGATAAGGCATGAAACGATTCAATCCCCAGGAAACGTGTGCCATAATGGCAGTAACCATAAACGACGTTTAAAATCAACGCAATGTTTTGACTCCAAACGGACGCGACGAAATAAAGGCATCTTTGAAGCGTTGCGCCATCGCCTCGATCTAAGAACCTCGTGCAAGGCATGAACAGTCAGTTTTCTCCTAGCCTTCGAACCTACAAAGTCCGTCCGCCAAGCCCGCCAAGGGACGACCTCGACGGACAGATGGACTAACTGTATGGGTCAAAATCTGACCACAGTGGTCGACCAAGCTGGGACCTCGCCTAAATGGCGAAATGGAGAGAAGTACCACGACCAACCTCACTCCAATCATCGACAGTGTATGTCAAGTAAAAGCGGTACTCGAATAACGACGAAAAGACCGTCACATGAAGAACACGTTGGTCAAAGGATACAGTAAAGCTTCGAGAACTATATATAGAAGGGGGATTCTCGGAAAAGGGGGGCGGGACTTTTCCTCTCTACTCTTTTTCTTGCAATTTCTTCCTCCGAAGGATGTAAACTGATTTTTCTCTCTATCTCATCAAAGATGAGATATTTAACATCAATAAATATTGATTGTTCTTACTTTTCATTTAATGTATTGCTATACTTTTTTAGATTTGAAGTTGATTATGCTTGACTAAGATTTACCCCTTCATTGTCATTAATTGATTTAATCAAAAAGGTTTTAATATCTTTTGGTCAAACAGTTATAGCTGTCAAACGCATTAGGGGAATCTGCAACCAAATCCTCGGTACCCTGCCAATATAAACTGCTAATCATGTACATTTATCTCTGTTATTGACTCACTAAACCAATTTGCCTATTGACACTCTCATCTGCTCTTGAATATTTAATAGCACATGGCCAGAACAGGGAGATATGATTCACATAGCTTCAGATTTCATATGAACCAGTAAAAACAATTCTAGTATTCCAAATTCTCAATATATATATGTGAGAATCCTACATGTACATGAATGCATGAGATAATGAAAGGTCATATAACCATGTCACATACATGATGCATCATACACATGAATATCAATCAACATATCACACATCTGTAAAACCAGATTATGCCTCCTAGCCTTTTGCCAGACCGTCCATTGGGCACAAGAAGGTATTTTGGCACGGTATGTATTGCAATATGACCATCCATAGGTGCCAATACACTTAATTTCCTAGTTGAACTGTGTGTCGCGTCACGCGGTCCACAATCAACATCAACTTATACTAAGTTGAATTGAGTGAGCACTAGACCATCCACAGTCAGCTATGTCACTAATCTGATTGCGTTTCCTAAACTTCTAAACCCAATTCTATATTTATTGTCATAACTAGAACTCTTTTCTTTTTAACCGTGGTGTTAGAGCCAACTTGCGCGCACCTCAACAAATTCCCTAGAACCTCCCATAAGTAACAAGGTACCAAGTAACTCTTTTCATCAATGATTAGATAAATCACCTAGTGTTGTTGTCTTCGCCCATAATCGAACTTGAGATTTATGGTCCCCACTTAATTGACCACTATGCCTCACCCGTAGAGAGGATTAATTAGAACACTTAAAGTGACTCAAATACCCAATTTTGGAAATTTAGGGCTTTACCATAAATTTTTAAGTTAATAAGATTAAATAGTGACCATAATGATTCAAAAAGAAAAAAAGATTAAATCTTGTAGAAATCAATATATAATGACTCAAAAATTGTTGACAGCTATGGAAATGGCATTTGAGCTAGAACAGAGACGAGCTTGAGAAGAGAGAATGTGATTTTGTAAAATATCAAAACTGAATACAATCACTGTACACTCAGTGTATATATACAACTAACCTGCATTGTTAACTAACTTCTGGAACCTTCTAACTAACTGTTAACTTACTAGCTTAACTGACTAAACAAGATTAACCACCTACTCACTGCTAACTTGACTCTAGTTATATCATCTTGTTAGCTTTAACCATAGTCAACACTCCCCCTCAAGATGATAGTTGAATACAGATTCTTCACTCCAAGTCTTTGAAGCAGGTAATCATGTTGTGCCTTTCCCAAACCTTTTGTAAGGATATCTGCTAGCTGTTCATTGGTTGACACATGCTCAGTTTGTATCAGGCCCTGCATTATTCTTTCTCTTACAAAGTGACAATCTATATCTATGTGTTTTATCCTTTCATGGAAAATAGGATTAGCTTCAATTTAGATTGCAGTCTTGCTATCACACATTAGCTTCACTAGCAATTGTGCTTCAACTCCCAGCTCTTTGAATAGTCCTACTAACCAGATAATCTCAGTTGTGCAAGATGCCATGCATCTTTGACTTCCATGAGATTATAGCATCTCCAAACTTTACTAAGTACCCTGTTACTGATTTTCTAGTTTGTACACAAGCCCCCTAATCTGAGTCACAGTATGCCAGTAACTGATTGGTGTTCTGAGCAAGCATGAACAAGCCCAGACCTGGTTCCTCTTTAACATATCTTACTACTCTAAGGGCAACTTCCATGTGTGAAACCTCTGGTCTGTGCATAAACTGACTTAGTACTTGAACAACAAATCCTAAGTCAGGTCGAGTCATAGTGAGATAGATTAGTCTTCCCACAAGTCTCTGATAAGGCCCTGGATCCTTGAGGAGATCCTCTTGAGTGCCCTTCTTAACAGACTTGTCATATTCCTCAGAAGTGAGGTTTTGGTTGAACTCTAGAGGAGTACCTGCAGGTTTTGCTCCCCCTAAACCTGATTCAGCAATAAGCTCTAAGGCATACTTCCTTTGACACATAACAATTCATTCTCTGGACCTTGCAAACTCAATGCCAAGAAAGAATCTCAATTCTCCCAAGTCTTTCATTTTGAACTTGGTTTGTAAGTCTTTCTTTGTCTGAGTTAGTAGCTGTTGACTACTGCCTGTAATCAATAAGTCATCAGCATATACTAGTATTACAGAGATATCACAGCCTGCCTTCTTAGTGAAAAGAGAGTAGTCATAATGACTTTGTTGAAACCCCATCTGAACTAGATCTTCTGTCAGCTTTTTGTTCCATTATCTTGGTGCTTGTTTAAGCCCATACTAGGACTTATGTAGTTTGTAGACCTTCAGATTCTCCTCCTGTCTGGAAAAACCCTGAGGAAGCTGCATATAGACTTCGTCTACCAGATCACCATTCAGGAAAGCATTATGGACATCCATTTGATAGATGAACCAGTGTTTGGATGCTGCCAGGGCCACTATTGATCTGACTATCACTATCTTTGCCACAGGTGAGAAGGTCTCTGTATAATCCAGTCCCTCCTTTTGACTGTAGCCTTTAGCAACCAATCTAGCTCTATATCTCTCTATCTCCTTTGAGGCCTGGTACTTGAATATCTATTTACAACCAATAGGGATCTTGTCAGGAGGAAGATCAATAACACTCCATGTGTGATTAGCTTCTAGAGCATCAATTTCAAGTTGCATTGCTTCTACCCATTTTGGATCCAAAGCAGCCTCTCTGAAAGTCTGAGGCTCTTTGATAGCTGTGTATGCTGACAGAGCCTGCTTGTAAGGCAGCTTAATAGCAACATACAGCACATATGAAGCTATAGGATATTGACAAGTTCTTGACAGGAATCACATAATCCTGCATCCAGGCAGGTTACTTCCCTTCTCTAGTGGACTTTCTTATCTCTTGAGGAGGTGGAGTCTCAGAAGGTTGATCATGAGACTCTGAAGTGGAAGCATAAACTCAGTAAGTGAGGAAGTGGCACTATGCCGATGTTCTTCATTAGGGACATAAGAAGTAGCATGGTTTAGTTCTTGACATGCAGCAGAGAGATGTGAGGAGGCACCCTGTGAGTAGGCCTCTACAGCTGGTAGCAAGTCAAGAATAGGAAATATAGGGGTACTAGCATCCTTCATATGTTTGAAGGGAAAGAGATGTTCCTGAAATACTACATGTCTGCTCACAAATAAGGACTTGGTGTGCAGACTGTAGAGCTTGTATCCTTTTGTGTTAAAGAATAACCTAGCAAGACTGCAGGGAAGAGCTCTTGGTGCAAACTTATCATTCTCCTTTGGACTGGATGCATAGCATAGATACCCAAAAACTCTAAGGTGTGTGAGGGAAGGAGGATGCAAATAAAGCATTTCAAAAGGTGATTTGTTATATAACACTTTGGAAAGGCAGCCTGATAATAAGGTAAACTGCAGTGCTAACACATTCACTCCAGAACTTTAGAGGAACAACTGCTTGAAACGTGAGTGATCAGGCCATTTCAAGGATTGTTTTGTGTTTTCTCTCTACCACTCTATTCTGCCGAGGAGTGTAAACAAAGGAACTCCGGTGAATAATTCCAAGAGAGGAGACCAATGCTTTGAAGTCAGCACTAAAAAATTCACTCCCATTATCAGTCGTGAGAGCTTTAACAGTAGTCGAGAAAGTATTCTGCACTGTGGTTAAGAAGTTTCTGATGACCACTATAGCATCAGACTTAGAATTAAGAACAACCAAGTATATCTAGCATAGTCATCCACAATAGTGACACATCTTTTTCCATCATATGTAGGTACCCTATAGGGCCCCCAGATATCACAATGTACCGGTTCAAATATTGATTTAGTAGTTGTAGTACTCAACTGAAAAGGTAACTTTGATTGCTTTGCTACAGGGCACACAGTACAATGATATGAACCTACATTTTTCAATGCTCTAAGTACATCATGCCTTTTGATTACATCAATAGGAGCATGTCCTAATTCGAGATGCCATAGATGAGTAGATTCAGAACTAGTGTACTCAGAACTAAGGTTAGCTGTGTGCACACATTTATTTAACAATTGTGATTTCTGGAGTGAGTTCCCTTTCAACAGAAAGAGTCCATGCTCTTCCTTACCAATCCTCAACACCTGACCATTGTAGAGGTCCTGAAATATGCAGAAATCAGGGAAGAATGCTACTAAGCACTGTAATTCCTTGGTAAGTTGAGAAACAGATAGTAGATTGTACTTAAATTCAAGTATAAACAACACATCACTAATATTCTGGTCTTTAAGTACTGTAGTATTTCCTGAGTGTGATACTGTCACTACATTTCCTGTTGGTAATTGAACAGTACCTCTTTGATGTTTTGGTAAAACCTGATAATGGTTTAACATCTGTAGATTGGATGTTATGTGATTTGAGGCACCTGTGTCTACTATTCAGTTATGATTAAGATACTTGGATAGTAAGGCTACCAGAGTACCTGCAGCAGTAGCCTTGGAAGATGATCCCTCCTCAGCATTTTTGTTGAGCAACTGGATAATCTGTTGATATTGTTCTTGTGTGAGATAGGGTGCAGGTGGTGGAGGCTGAGAATAAGTGGCAGATTGAGGCATCGTAGATATCATAGAGTATTGGGGCATCATAACAGGTTGAGACACTACAGAATGATCTCCTCTACCATGTTGACCTGCATGTTGAACTCCAGCCTGCATCTGTGGCCCTTCTCCCGGCTGGTGGACATCAGCACTAACATGAATAGCATATAGACCAGGGGTTCCTCCTTTCTTCTTAAGTTTAAAATCAGCTGGATAGCCAATTAGCTTATAGCAATTTTCCTTAGTATGTCCTTTGTAGTGGCAGTATTCATAGTGTACTTGATTTCTCCTTTGTTTGAAATTACCTCCCGAGTTAACAGAGGTTCTATTACTGTAAAGAGCAGTACTCTCCATTGTCTTAGACACTTGAACTGTTTGTGAGAAATTTTCCTAACTCCTTTGACTTTCCTGATCCACTAGTAGAGAGTAAACCTTGTTGATACTAGGAATTGGGGACATCATCATAATTTGGCTTCTGGACTGTGAGTGTGACTTATTTAGGCCCATGAGAAATTGCAGAAGCCCGTGTTGTTCAAAGTGCTGAGCATACTTCTTTGATTCTGGACATGGAAAACCAGGGCAGGGCATAACAGCATCAAACTCATCCCAAAGATCCCTCAGTTTCAAAAAATAATCAGATATGGTCATGGTTCCTTGAGTCAATGTATGAATTTCTCTATGAAGATAGAGAACTCTTGAACCATTCACTTCATCAAATCTCTCTTTTAAATCCTCCCACACTTTGTGAGCATCAGATGCATACAATACACTACTTAATAGGCCTAGTCTAACTGCATTCATAATCCATGAGAGAACTACAATATTGGCTTTCTCCCATTGATCGTACAGTTCAGGTACAAATTTAGATTTAGGAAATCGTCCGTCCACAAAACCTAGTTTGCTTTTGCCTAGCAAACCAATCCTCATAGACCTACTCCACAAAGCGTAGTTATCTGATCTAGTTAATTGAAGAGAAATAAGAGTACTACCTGGAGTATCTGTTGGTTGAAGGAAGAGAGGATGATTGTGATCAATTGTGGGAATATTGACAATAGCAATTGTGCCATCACTTGTCTCAGCGGCCGTGACATTCACATCATCTCCAATCGTCATTGTTGTGCAGAGTTTCAGACCTAGATTCAACACTTGCAAACCCTAATTTCACCACGCGTCACTAGAAGGCAATTCTACAGGTCTTCTACAGAACCGAAGCAACACTAGAAATGGAGAGCGAAATTGAGTTAGTGATTGAGCGTAGATCGAGTCTCAAGGCTCTGATACCATGTTGAATCCATGGAAATGACATTTGAGCTAGAATAGAGACGAGCTTGAGAAGAGAGAATGTGATTTTGTAAAATATCAAAACTGAATACAATCATCGTACACTCAGTGTATATATACAACTAACCTACAGTATTAACTAACTTCTAGAACCTTCTAACTAACTGCTAACTAACTAGCTTAACTGACTAAATAAGATTAACCACCTACTCACTGCTAACTTGACTCTAGTTACATCAGTTTGTTAGCTTTAACCATAGTCAACAAAAATAGTGTAAAGGACCATACCTTTATCCATATATTGCTCATGGTTTGGGAGTTTCAAGGTGAAGCTTAATTGGTTTTGCTTAGCCTTTCAACTTAGCTACCCTTTTACTAACGACACAATTGTCCTTTTTTATTAAATGACACAATTGCTCTTTTTATATTTTTTAGGTTATACTACATATCAACGGAAAGTTCACTAGAACAAAGGGCGTGTTCTGGTACGACAAAAAGTAACAACTTGTTTACCAAACGATACGATTTCCCTCACTTATAGCGAAATTTATTTTCCTTACAATTATACTTGACTAAGAGTATTTCTTAAAGGCTTCAAAAAGTGCTGCAAGACTTAATTGTAATAACCTCCTCACACATATTCGATAATCTCCCTGAGGATATATACTCCTATGACTTGTAATATATTATAAATTTTAAAGTAGTCTTTTATTTCAACTCCGTATCAATCAAATAAATTCACATAAACTGAAACAGAGAGAATATATGCTAAGACACAAGCAGCTGCGATATTGGCATGTTGCAAGATATGAGTGGAGTGACTTTATGTTTTGGTCATTTGTTCGAATTCTATATCATTTGATTAGCTACGCGGTCTCTTCATATCAGCTATGAATAAAATTTACGATAAGATTTAACCAGTAACGTAGTCAGGAATTCCGTCAAGGGTGATCAAACTTTAAATAAGTCAATAATTTGTTTGTCGGTGAATGATGTACCAAAATTTTTAGATCAATCTACGCAACATTTAGTTAAATAATAATAAAATTTTTTAATAGAACTATAATTTTATAAATTAAAATTAAAATAATAAAAAGACAACATTAGAAATTTTACTAATAAAAGTAAGCGTAAAACCAAAGAAAAGAGAGAGTCTAGAGGAT